CATCTCCTCCAGGGTCTCAGGGCTCCGCAGCACCCCCCCATCTCCCATGTGGTCTCAGGGCTTCCCAGCAGTTTCTTATGCTGATGGCACTGCTGCCTGCACCATCCCCAGGCATGGCCCAGCCCAAAGCCCTGGGCAGGTGATGGAGGCAGGAGAAAGTGCAGGATGGGAGCTGTCGATGCTGAGAGAAGGGACAGGCAGTAAATCCACAGCACTCCCTGAAGAGGACAAGCTGGGGACACCAGTGGTGCCGTCATCCCCCAGCTCCAAAAAGATGCAAATGGCACGTCCTGCAGCAGCGCACCACTGGCAGCCTTGGGGGAGCACAGCAGGCGGGAGCTGGGCTCTGCGCTGGAGTCCTGCGTCACTGTGAGCTGTGCTGGCCAGGGCACGCGGGGACATGCAAGAGGGCCAGTGCAAGGTGGTATAAGTGTATGCGTGAGTGTGAGAAAGGGGAATAAGGTCTGTTTTCCATGAGCCTTTCTTTAAAATACAGATACCCTTTCCCAGCGCTTTGCAACACGGTTGAAGCAATGCGTGCACAGGGGAGAGGATCCCGGGGTCCTGTCCCCGAGTCCTGTGATGGAGTGGGGTGGCAGCAGAGTCAGGCCATGACCAGGAGAGGAAGGAGGGTCTTGGATGTGCTGCTCAGCTTTGGGGGCTGCTCACAGATCCACTGCAACCTTCTCCTGCATGTAGAAAACTCTATTTTCCCGCTAGATAATAGCCTGCAGTCTGCAGCGTAGTTGTACCTAGGAGAGAGGGCGTGTCTCAGAGGGACAGTGACAACATCCTCACCGGGGACAACTCTTCCCACAGGTCCCAGTGCCACTGGGACAGGCAGGACGCCTGGCACTGGGACCAGTCTGAGGAAGGGCCACGTTCTTTCCCCCGGCCTCCTGCTCCGCCACTTGGAGATCCGGCAGTGCACCCTGCAGCTGGGCTCTGCCCAGGGCCCCCTCCCTCAGGGCACTGCTTGTGGAAGCATCACCCCCTTTGCCAGGGGGGGTCTCACAGGGGTGAAATGGCACCTCCCTGCCATGACTAAAGGGCAAGTGCTTGTGCCAAGGACCACTGCACTTACCTGTAGGACTTGGTGTTCAGCCCTACATCAGTTCTTGTCGCGTCAGAAGAAGATTGTAGTCCAACCCAGTACGTTGCACCAGGCGCCTGCACAAAATGCTGGGGGGGAGAAGCTGTCAACCACCTGCCCCATGC